TTCCCCCCAAAACGGAAGGTGGAGCTGACAGAGTAGAATAATATCTAACACATGAAGCTGCTAAATGGAGCCCTGTGTAGAATTTGTCTGACGGTCTGTCATGCATTTCCTGTGTAACTTCCTTCACCAGAACAAACAGGAGTTTACTTATTTCCAACATTACTTGGTGAGAACAAACACACAGATTAAGATGTGCATGGACAGGACTGAAAAAAAAGAAAAACACGTAAACTTATGCTTTTTTTTTTTTTCAAATCCTATGTTTTTGAAACTTTTTATCAGGTAAACAAGGATTCAAAAATTCATTAGACTACCCAGTGGGCCTATATATACATAACATTACATAAAACATAAGCTGGACATTTCATGAAAACACGTTTATGTTATAAAATACATTATTAAAAAGACACTGTTTTTTTAATAAGGAACAATGTGAGTACATTAGCAAAACTATTACTTACACAAATTAGAATTAACATAAAAATAAAAAAAATTAACAGCTTTCATATTCTTACCTTTAATTTACTCTGTAAAGATGCTCCAAAGAATAACCCTTAATTAAGACCGATAACTCGCGCTTTGTAACCGTGTTGTTCTTAAAGTCTGTGTCAGTGACAGTGGGAGTGCATCAGGTCTTACTTCCTCTGTGAATGACGCAGTGTCTAACTGTCAGTGCAGGGGTGTTTAAGAAGACCTATGACACAAAGAAAGAAAAATGCTCTTATGAAAAAAAGTGTGATTCACCGTCATTATACCACATGATTTATATACATGTGCCTAAAATACCTCTGTTAAAGAGAAGCATGGGAAGCAAACGCAACCTGTTCTGTTTCTGTGCACACTTTGTTGTTGCAATGCTTCATGCTAAAACCACACAGGGTCACTACATTACCTTTTAATAAAATGGCACAAATGTGCACCATACACTGTAAACTAGGAGTGACCCGAATAGTCGAAGATTCGATGCTTCGATAGGAGGAGCCCTATTCCACTACCAATCTCACAGTCGAATATTCGCAGAGGTGTTATGATCATGCCATTTCGGCTATATGGGGGCGCTCAAATGTCTGATTTCCCATAGAACTACTGGTTTTCTCCCAATAAGTTAATATACAGCCTATTAAAATAATGCTGTAAATAAGAATCTGAAAAGAAAGAAGCTTCAAATAAATATGTTAACGTGCGTGAATAAATCCAACCACCTCTATAGATTTTAAGTTTCACTTTCCATAATCCGTGACCGACAGAGGAGCATCTTGGCGGCAGGGATTTAAAACTTTAACAAGACTCAAACTGACACAGA